TTTTTCAAATTTAACTCATAACTTTTTTTTTTGTTTTCTTTTTGTCAAAAAAAAAAATTTAATTCTTTCATTACTAAAATCTACAAGTTGCATGTAAACCTACTAATTTAGGTAAGAATTTAAATTACATGAATGCATAATAATGCAAAAAAAATTAAATTTTTACATCAGATATATATATAAATTAAAAAGCGATTTTTTCGATTACACCTTACCATCCTTCTTATTTTTTTTATTTTGAGTAAATAATATTTAAATTTTTCTTTAAAAAACATCTTTAAAAAATCTTTATAGTAAGTTTTTCTATTAAAAAAATAATTAAATTTTTAAAATTTTAAAATTTGGAATTATAATAACTTTATTTATTTATTTTTAAAATACACAAACTATATATATATATACATATAATAAAACAATATTTGATTACAATAAACTATATTTAAAAACTTCATTTATTAATTTATTTTGGTTTTCGATAGGATTTTAGTCTCTCTTTTTTCTTATTTCCTCCCTCCTTCTCCCCTCCTTCATATTAACTAACATAATAACAAGTCATCATCATTATCATCACCATTGTCTAATCCCTTTGATTCCAATATAAATCAACACGTTAGTTCGTTAGTTCGTTCTTTCATTCATTCATTCATTCATTAATCTACTTATTAATCCACTCATTAATCCACTCATCCACTCACTCATTCATCCTTCTCGAAAACTCCCAAAGGATATAAAGATAGATTAAATAAATAAATAAATAAATAAATATTGTCAAACCAAAATAAAATTTTCCTTTTTGAAAAAAAAAAAACAAAAATGCCTGCTGCCGGTAATTTAGCATTGAATTTTTTAATAGGTTTTTTGGTGTCGGTAATGGCGTCAATTATGAATGCTGCTGGTTTAAATTTACTTAAACTGGATCATGTTAGAAACACAAATAAACCATCAGAGCATCAAAGAAATGAATGCGGAAGACCATTATGGCATCTTGGTTTATATTTATACATTTCTAGTCAACTTATAGGCAGTACAATTGCTCTTAGTGAGTTTATATTTTTGATTACGATTTTGATTTTTTTTAAAAAATTCTAATTAATGAATTTAATTATTGATTTGGTTTGTTGGTTTAATTTAAAGATTTCCTTAGGGCTCAATGGGTTGCACCACTTGGATCTATTTCATTGATTTTTAACTTTATATTTGCGAGAACATTAATTGGAACGCGTATCACAAAACAGGATATTATAGGAACATTTGTTGTAATAATTAGCGTTATATGGATTGTTGTTTTTGGTGGAATGAATACTGGACAAGGCGGTACGTAAATCAATAAAAAACCGATCAAGAAAAGGCTAAAAAAAAATTTCGGAAATATATTAATAAACACCAATCTTGTTATTATTTTATTAGATGAATATTTAACACTTGAAAAACTTAAATCACTTATGATGAGGCCTCTTTTTATTGTCTATTTTTCGTTCCTCAATTTTATAACCTTTTCACTATTTGGAATTGCAATTTATATTTATTGGATAATTACTGATGAAGATAGAAAAAGACGTGATAGCTATTTCAGAACAATTGAAACTAATAGATTAACGAAAACTGTTGGAATGATAATGTCAGGCGTTGGTGGACTTCTTGCAAGTCAAACTTTACTTTTAGCAAAAAGCGGGTTAGTAAATTTTCTAAAATTAATTAATAATAAAAAATACACAAATATTATATCATCCGATTATTTACTCATATCTTTATATCATATTGTTTTTTATAGCGTAAAACTTTTTTATATTTCAGTTACAGAGAAAAATCAATTTACAGATAGTCTTAGTTTATTTATCCTGATAAGTTTAGGGGTCACAGCCATACTACAAGTGTATTGTCTTAATACAGCATTGAAATTACATGATTCGGTTCTAGTTGTACCAATGTTTTATGGATTTTATACAACAATGGGACTATTGAATTCAATGATCTACTTGGATGAATTGTCATCATATCCATTCTGGGCTTTACTATTAGTAACTGTAGGTATTGCAACCTTGATTTATGGTGTCTTGTTATTAAGTAAATCAAAAGAGGAACCTGTGATTTCAACTAAAGACTTTGAAGATTATTCAGAAGACGATGATGAATTGAAAGAGATAGATTTTGGAAACAATAATAATTTTAACAACCTTAATGAAAATGATAGTAATAGTGATATGTTAAATATTAACTGGAATGATAAAAATACATTTACCAGTATAAGTAACGATTCTTCAGCATCTGAAATTGGTTTAACGAGTAATCTTAAAGTCAACAACGGCAATAGTAATATAAAGATTAAAAGAAACAGTAATAATAAGAATAATTTATTCAAATTTATCAGTAATAAAAAAATATTTTCGAAAAAATCATTACCGGGAATTTTCAGATTTAATAATAATAATATTAATCCCATAATACCAACCATATCAATTGCAAATACTAATAGTAGTAGTAGTAGTAGTAGTAGTAGTAGCGGAGGTAGTAGTGAAATAAGTTTGGAGAATTCGTTATCATCAGGAACCAATTCACAACATGTCATAATTGGAGATGATGACGATATTTCTGATAACGATGATGATAATAATAACAGACATTTTATTGATACCCCAACAATAACATCACCTAAACCTTCCGCCTCTTATGATTTAATAGTATTTTCACCTACTACAATAAAAACTAATTTAAAATCACCACCACTATCACCATCACCACCAACACAATCTTCATTATCATTATCATCAACGACGATGATGACGTCGACAAATAATAATAATTTTTATTTAACAAAAAATAGACAATATGATAATGATGAGGTTAATTCAATCATTTATTCAAATAGTTTCGAAGATATTTTAAAATAGTTGATGAAAAAAAAAAATTAATATTTAAGTAAAGCTTTGGTTATAAATTTAAAGTAGTTGTAATTTATTTTTTGTAATTTAATTTTTAGTTTTAATTTTAGAGTTGTAATAATAATTTAATTTTAATTTATAAAAATTTCATTCTTTTTAACAGTGGATTATTTATTATTATTATTATTATTAGAGAACGTCGAAATTAGTTAATGAGACTTAATGTAGATAGATAAACTATATATAATAAAATAAAATAATAAAATTAATTTGATATTAATCTAAATAAACATTTAGCAATTATATTTTTTCCTTTACTCCGAATAGGTTGACCTTTTACGTTCGAAAAGTGGTAACAAGAGATTTGATGCCGTTTTCCTTTTGTATTGTTGGAGTTAGGTTTCTTAAGGATTGTGAAAAAAGAATCGACATATTTAATTCTTTAAAAATTTATTTATTTACTATTACATTGAACTCTTGTACTTGGGTTTGAATTGTATTAACAAACAAGTTCATGGTTTTCATAGTCAGGCAATATATCTTCTTTCTGTCCTTGATTTTGGCCATCAGTATTAATATCCTGATCAAAGTTTACTTTTTATATCATACAATGGTTGTTACCAAGAAAATATCACTAAAAAAGACAGCGAAATTTTCTTTTTGAAAAAAAAATTCGATTTTTATTATTTAATGGAAGATTTCTTTTCATATTATCCGAGGTTCTACCAAATAACAACAGTGCTTCACCTTCACACTGACCGTCTGTCTGTACCCCAAAAAACCCAGCCAAACATACAGCCCATCATTGGTTAAACCATCGACATACAATATATATATTGATTCGCTATTTGATAATTTTGTTTAATGATTTATTTCCCTATTTATTAAAAAACCACAGGTTATTTAACTAAAATCAACTTGGGTGAAATTAAATAATACATTAATGATAATTACCAAAGATGTACAAGATTATCATAAAATGAACAACTTGCTAATAACGATTTGTTATGATTCAGGTTTCTTGAATACGACCAGTCAACACCATAAGCAATCGATTGATGCTTCATAAAACTTGAAGATTTCATCATCGTTATTACAACATCATCATTGTCGTTTTTGCCTATATAAAAAAATTTTTTTTTGGTAGCAGCAATTCAAAGGTTTTATCTTTTTTCTGCTTTATTATTACTATGACTAGTTGAATAACTGATTAACTAATTAACCGACTAGACTAACCTTTTAATTCGTCGCTCGTTTTGATTACATGAAATCCATTATACATACAAGCAGCAACAAATAAATCTTTATTGAATGGATGCCATTTTAATCTCCAAACACCACCATTAATATTATAGGTATTTACGGGGCTTTTTAGTGATCTTGTGTCCCAAAGTAAAACATTTTCATCGTAACTTTATTTTAAAAAGGCAATTGAGAGGTTATATTATTTTTTTTTATAAAATTAAATAAAATATAAATATCTTTACCTTCCGGAAATAAAATAATTTTCCGTATGAGGATTAGATTGAATACTACAAACGCCTTCCTCGTGTCTATATTTTAATAAAATAAATAATAAATCATTAACTTA